GGAAATCACCCATGATTCACTCTAAGAAAAAAAAAAAAAACCTCTTAAAACAGGGTAAAACCTCTCTGCTAAGTTCTTTCTTTCAAGCCAGAAAAAGCAACAGCCAAAAGTTCCCTACAGTTACAGCCTACCAAAAAAAGTGCAGGCAGAAAGCTGAAGACGGGGGAGCGGCTGCTGGTGAGAAAGCAATGGAGGCTTTAAAACTCCTCCCTGCAATGAGGGAAGCAGGACTTGACTTCCAAAAAAAAATCTCTCTTCTAAGCTCTTGTCTCTTCAGGCCATTTAAAAAAAAAAAAAAAAAAAAAAAAAGGCAGCCAGAAATCCCCCTGCAGCGAGAACTTAGCCATAGAGACGGAAAAGTGCAGGTGGAAGCAGCAGTAAAACTGAGTGTCAGGGACACCATCTGGGAAAAGAGCGGAGCCAGGACAGGACAGGCCGGAGAAGTGTCCAGGCGGAAAGCTCTCTTCTCTAGCAGGGAAAAGACCTTCGTGAAAAAAGCTTTGTTTCAAGCGCTTTCAGTTTCCCTCACTCAGCCAGTGAGGAGAGGGAGTGAAGCCCTGAAGGGTTTTTACCTTAGCCAATAAACTCCCTGTGAGTGCTTGAGGGCAGACAGGAGCAACTTGCTTGGGAACAGGGCCAGGTGAAATGTCTCATTAGGGAAGTACCTGTCCTAATGCGAGCTTAGGGATAGTGAAAACCTCCCTTGATAAAAAAGCAGAAGCTTGATTTCAGTATGAACACAAACTACCGACCCTGTAAACAGACACAATAAGTTTTGTTTGAAAGGCATGATGCAAAATGTAGTAATAGCATGACACTTCAGAGAAAGGCTTTCTGGGAAAGGTAGTTTTTCTGCTAAAAATGACAATAGTGCCCAGAAAAACTTTTTTCAGCTCAAAATGAAGTTTGTAAGCATTGCGAGAAAGCTTAGATTTACTTCCCAAAAAGCTGAGAGCAAACAAACAGCTTGCCTCACAGGAGATAATTAAAAGGAAAAAAGCTTATGAGATTGAGTCGTGTTTAAGATTCCAGAGAAACATTGATATCATTTTAAAAACCCATGAAGTGTGGACTGGTGGCTGTGGAGCCCCCATGGGACTGGACTAGGCCCTTCGGATACGGAAGATAGTTATTTGGCTCAAACTGTTTGGGGGGCACCAAGGCAGGGGGATCGGGATCTGTCCCTGGTGCATGGGCAGGCTTCTGGGAATCCGGTGCCTGTGATGCAATGCCTTGCACAGCCTTGGTGCAGTGGGAAGGGGCTTGGACCTGCCTAGTCTCAGTGTGCTGGGCTCTGCTGACTCCCCATGGGAGACGTTGATTTGGGGGGTGTGGGGATGTGGAGGGGCTTGGGAGAGAGGGCTGGGGGTGAGAGGAGGGAGGAGGGGGGATCTGTGGGTGGTATGTGAAGTGAGCAGAAAATTTCTTAATAAAGAAAAATAGAAAAAATAAAATAAACCTTACATTCTTAAAAAAGATACTCATAGTAAACTTCAAGAACAGCTTTCAAAAAATTAAGAAGGAGGAAAATTGTCTGAGAGTATACTGAATGTCAATACCAATGAAAAACTGAAAGGAAAGGAAAGCAGCTTGGAGCTGTGACGCTTTTGACCAGCTTCAGATAGATACAGGCTCTTTTGAGAAAATGCCTTATATTGCCTAATAGCTGCACAGAGTGTTTTTAATGGCAGCTAGATAACAAAGAGCTAAGCTAGCTCTAAGGGCAGTAAAGTCACTCAGAAAGACATCATGCCCCTTAGGTTTTTCTTCTCATTCTCTTTTTAGGTTTGATAACTAACAGTTTACTTTCTATTTTCTAAATGAAGTCCAAAGAAAGTTACTCTGTGTAGTTGAAAGATGATGTAACATCTCCTCAAGATATTAAGAAATCTTTTTTAAATCTCTTCTAGATGTTAAGAAGTTTCTTTTAGGTGTTTGGTAAGTTACATATTTGCTAGTAGTAGCCCTATAGAGAGTTTGCTTAATAGAATATAAGCTTGTAAAGTAAATCTATGGAGTTTCTGTATGAATATAAGTATATTTGCTAAGGTAATCCTATAGAGTTTCTTTAAGAATATCAGCTTGGCTGGGCAGTGGTGGCTCCCACCTTTAATCTCAGCACTTGGGAGGCCATCCTGGGCTACACAGTGAGTTCCAGGAAAGGTGCAAAGCTACATAGAGAAACCCTGTCTCGGGGGGAAAAAAAAAAAAAAAAGAGTATCAGCTTGTCTGAAGTATAAATAAGTAAATATAAAGACATGTAGTAAATGGTCATGCTAGTTGTAAATCTAAGTGTATATTTGCTAACGTAGTCCTATAGAGTTTCTTTATCATAAAAAATGTAGGCTTATATATTAGGGTGGAAGATTAATTAAGGTAGTCCTATAGTTTCTTTAAGAATAATAAAATCATAAAAATGTAGGTTTATATATTAGCATAGAATATTTGCTAACATAGTCCTATAGAGTTTCTTTAAGAATATAAGCTTATAGGAAGCTTTAGGCATAAAGATATTGTGTAGGCTTAAGTAAGACTTAGTATAATAAGGTAGGATATAGGATTTAGGTCTAGGGACATGGTGAAAGTTTAATAGAGGGATTATATGGTGAAGGTTTAATAAAAAGTAAACAATAGAGTAGGTTTTCCCAACTTGGGACACAAGAAGTAGCATCCCTAGCAGACTGCAAACTTGGCAGTCCCAAGAGCCACCAATAACAACAAAAAGCAACTTCATAGGCTGCCAGCTTCAGAAAGTAGCAGCAGGCATGAGCTGCGGAGACCCATGGAACATCAATGTAGCACAGGTGTCAAACACACAAGGGTTTGCAAGCTTTCTACCAAAAGGAAGCCACGATGAGGAGCAGACATGCTAAGCTATGAGAAAGGCAAATGGTGGGCAGCAGCCTGGCAAGCCCACCAGAGATGGCATGCCAAGAGAAAGGTGAATGGCAAGCAATGGTGTGCAGCAAAGACTTCGGACCCCAGCTGCTGAAGCAGGTCTGTCTCCCAGAGCCTAGGTCCCTGGTGACTGGAGACTGCAAAGCCACAGGAGAGGCAGAAATCCAAGCAAGTGGCTCAGGAGAGTCATGGCGGAGGCCAAGGGCAGAGAAGGGGTGTCAGTGCTGGACAGGCAGCTGAGACATGCGGGAGCCCAAGAAGCTAAGGAGGTGAGAGCTGTGCTCCAGTGACTCTGTGGAAACTGCTGAATGCCGTGGAGGATTTCTGGCACCTGGGGTGCTGAACACTGGACCAACAATGAAGCAGGAAATGGGACTCTCCCAGAGCCAGAGTTGCTGTGGGAGGACCATGATTCAGCTCATAGCAACTGAAGGAGCCTTGAGCCTGTGTGGTGATTGAAAGCTCTCTAGCCTGGTCCAGGAATGGCCCACTTCCAGGAGGCACAAACAGAACAGGACTGTAAAAACTGTAAAAGCCTGAATTAAAGTTTCAGAGAGGCCGGGCAGTGGTGGCACATGCCTTTAATCCCAGCACTCGGGAGGCAGAGGGAGGCGGATCTCTGTGAGTTTGAGGCCAGTCTGGATTACCAAGAGAGTTCCAGGAAAGGCGCAAAGCTACACAGAGAAACCCTGTCTTGGGGGGAAAAAAAAGAAAAGAAAAGAAAAAGAAAGTTTCAGAGAGGCTTGCTTAAAATTGAAAAAGAGTTTTGGTTACAGGACTCCTCATATTTGGAAATGTTTGTTTCAGAGTCATTACAACTCTTGAGAGCTATACAAAGACAAGCCAGGCCCTAATTTTGAGCACTCAGAGGAACTTTTAGCAATGGTACTAGAACTCTTTTTGAACTTCTGAACTTAAGAAATGAAATGGACAGAAGTGATTTCATTGCAATGGGACTTATGTATATAGACTCTATAAATGCTGGTGATTTATGAAACAATTTATGTAAAAATGGAACTGCTTAAAAATGGAATTGTTTAAATAGAAACAGTTTGGGGTTTTTCTAATTAGGTTCGAGATTCATTTTTAAAAAAATTACAAAGAAAAGGGAGAATTATGAGTGAATTACGGTTGAATGTAGGTTTGTAGGAATTATAATTGTGTTTAGTAATGTTTATGTTAGAATTATTATGTTAACCTATTGATACTGATGCACCATGGTTTGGTAAAGTTAAGGAAGAATTTAAGTTTGATGTGAATACATCAGTTTATCCTATGTTTTGTTAGCAAGAAATTCAAATGGTTTTATTAAGAGTTTGCTTTAAGATATGTTTGAGAGAACTGCAACTACGTATAGCAATATTTATGTTAGAATTATGTTAACCTGTTAATGTTAATGCTGAAGCTAATGGAGTCTTTAAGATCGATGCAGTTGCATCAAGAGTTTTTGATTTAGAAAGGGCTTGATGCAGCTAAGACTGCTGTAGTTACCTTAGACCCATTCCAAAAAAGAAATGCCATCTTTATCATCCTCTACTCCTATACTGGGAGGTGTGACAGCTACGGAGATTGCTGTGAGGTCTTAATGGGGAGCTATTTTGTTTTGTTTTTTAATATATTAAGAAGGGGGGACATATTGGAGCACATTTAGGCTGTACCTAGCAGGTCTGCATAAAGAGAATGATTGGACCACAGGTCTGAATACCAGGTGTCTGAGATGGTCTGCACTTGGCTGTACTGGGGGGAGGTCTTTTGCTCACCCCTTGGTATTCCTTTAAAAACCCTAGGTCAGAGACAGGGCCCAGTGGATTAGAATCCAGGCCCTCCTGAGGCTATCCTGTATTTCTATCTGTTTCTCTCCCCGCTATACTTCTTTTTTGTTTTGGTTTGGTTTTAGTTTTTTTGCGACAGGGTTTCTCCAAGTAGTTTAGGTTCCTGTCTTGGATCTCGCTCTGTAGATCAGGCTGGCCTCAAACTACTCAGAAATCTATATCCCTCTGCCTCCCGAATGCTGGGATTAAAGGAGTGTGCCACTGCTGCCCAGCTCCCCTCTATACTTCTAACTAATATTTCCTGCTGCTCCTTCCTACTCTGGGGAAGAGTGGGAGTGAGATGCCTCCCCCCCAAAAAAACAGAACATTTTGGCAAGGGTGTGGAGAAATTCTCAGGCAAATCTGAGTACATGGCAATGTAAGATAGTGTGCAACTGTTGTGGAAAACAGTATGATAGTTGCTTTGAATTATAAATTACCATATGATGCAACAACTCTACTTTGGATAGATATTAATAGTCATATTGATAGAAGTAATAATCACAACAGCTAAAATGTGAATTATACCCAGTGTCCATAGACAGACAAGTGGATAAGAAGCAGTATTATACATACCAGTTTTCAGTTTTAAGGGGAAGAACTGACATGTACTGTGCTAAGGACAAACATGGAGGACATTATAACAACTGTGAAATAAGCCAATTAGCAAAAAGCCGTATTTTGTGAGTTCACTTACATGAGGTACTTAGCACAGTCAAAATCAGAAAAAAAGGCAGAACTGTGGCTGCCAGAAGCTGGGGCAGAAGAAAGGGGAATTATAGTTTTATGGGCTCAGAGATTCAGTTCTACAAGATGAAAGGAAACAGATGGAATGGTGATGAGAATCACACAAGAATACACTCTATAGACAGTAAGATTTATGTTACGTATATTTTATGACAGTAAAAATAAAATCGAAGACAAATCAAAATATTGCTTAAAATAAAGGGGCTGTTAAAGCTCAAACACTTATAAAACTGTACAAAGGCTAACATTTACATACAATGGAATCAGTAGAAAATAAGGCCATTTATATTATCAAATGATATCAAAATACCACATTCTATTTTTGATGATTTGGTTCGGCCACACGGCAACAGATGTCATCATTATATTAATAATCAACGACTACAAAAGTGAACTTAAGAATTAAGATTTCTTATATCTGAAAAATAGTGAATTTAAGTCAGAATTATGAAAGAGGGAAATAGCTACCAATAGTCGAATTCTCAGATGTCCTTTTCTTGACGTCAGTATTCTTTACCTTCCACACTGAGTCCTGTTGTCTAAAGTCCTCTTCCCTATCATTGTTGCCCATTCTTTTTTTTTTTTTTTTTTTTTTTTTTTTTTTTTTTTTTTTTTTTTTTTTTTTTTTTTTTTTTTT